CGCCCGCATCAGCATCACTTCGCTTCGGCGCGCATCGCTCCGTGCCGATATCTGTATCGGTGAGATCTCGGCGTCGGCACGCGCGTCGCATTGTTGCGGGTGACCTCGAGCAACGCGCGCCGACGCTAACGCTAACAAAGAATGTAGAAAAAAAAAAAAGGTAACTGTTTTATTTGGTTGGACTTTAACGGAACCCCCTAATCCCAGAAGTTTGTCCTTCCGTCCGTACGTTTCTTCCCTAAATTTAACGGGAAAATGAACGTGACTTGACCTGACGTCACGTGACCTAAGCATCCCTCTTACGTTATCGTAAATTAGAAACCGACAAGCTCTACCAACTACAAAAACGGTGTTTTTAGCGTAATATTTATGCCAGGGGGCACATTCCACGTTTTAATCCCGGAACGAAACCGAAACTAACTTCTAATATGGACTTAATTTTTTCAGTGTGGGCACTCTGCGTCCGCTAGGAGCCGCTACCGATCCACCAGCGAACAGCGCCGCGCGCGGCCGTGTCTCAGTCCGCGTAGGGAGAGCGCTAGAGGCTAGAGCTCCGCCCCGCTCCCGCTGCTTCCGGCCTTCCGCCAATGTGGCAGCACAAGCAGGCATGTCGACCTTGCAGTCACAGAGGGAATAAAAGATTTCAGGCCCTGGGCTAAGGTTGATTCTGAGGCCCTCCTGATGATGCTGATGAAGATATAATTGGTTCACACAGTACTTTTCGGAAAGCCTAAGTTGTTTTTAAAGTTATATATTTGTTCCGGCCTGAGTAATTTTATCACTCAAAAATGGGTAAGATTCTGTGATCACTTCAAGTAAATTACTAAGTATAGCCGTACAGACCGCGGCAATCTAATGACTGCCACGACTCACTTTTCAGTAAACGCTCTGGGACACAAGTGCCCAACCTTTTCTTAGTGTAGCACAATCATATATCTTTTGCGATTTCGTCGTCCATTTGTTGTTTGTGCAAAAATCTCCTCTGTTTTTTTGTTTTGTTGTTTTTTTTAGTTTGAAGGAATGTTTTCATATACAACTTGTTTCTGGAAGGACGAAGTCATTGCTTCTGGTTTGTAATGGGCAGGAAGACTTTAAACTCGTTCTTATAACAAGAACGTTCTCCGGGTTCCCTCAATGATCCCCCCTTTGCAAAACAGTTCAATGTAGAGGCAGTGAACACATTGGGAAGTAAAACCATGTGTGCAGCTTCCGGCGTAAACACGCACTTGAATAAACGCCCGTAGTTGTTCTTAAGACATATTCAAAAAAAAAAAAAAAAAGAAATCCCCCTCTAAAAAAAAACAAAAAAAAACAGATAGTTTAGGTTTTCCTTCAGGCTTCAATTAGGAAAAACTTCACTGAGGCTGCCGCGGAGACGACAGCTCTGTCTCCTTCGCCAGCTGGAGCATCGAAGGCCGCGCTTCAAAAAACACACGTTCGCACGAAATATAACAGTAAGAGCTCGAGTAGGACAGCGGGCGAATGCGTTTACGATGTTTCTCCTTTCTTTGTCTAAAGAGGGTTGGAAACTCTCAGAACGCTGGGAGCCCCTCGGCGCCTTCTTTTGCTCCAAGCCATTTTGAAAAGAACGCGAAGTAGCGTGAGGGGCCATATACACGTCAAATTTAACGAGCCTTTCTGTACACCAACCAAAGAAGCTTGCCGCGCAAAGTGTCTTTAGGTTTCGTTTGCATTGCCATGATCTTTTTCACGCCTCTCTTTCTTGAAGGCTGTGAAAATATTGTCCAAAATATTCTGTTTAGTTTTATTAAAAAATATTTTGTTATGTTTCGTTTTTCTGACCAAACTTTTTTTTTTTCATGACATAGAGCATCGGGATTCCGGAGAGCCGGGTCTCTGGTCTCCAGCCCTCTTAGCCCGTACCTTAATCCGGCCCGGCTTGCATAACCCACCGGTGTACCAGTGCAGGCGAGCTGCGACTGCCGAGGTCGCTTCCCGATGAGCAAGCGCGACGCCGCCGCGAAAGGTCCGCCTATCGGCACTGAATTAGATTCCAGGGTGTCTATACTTGTTAATTTAGGTTTCTCTTTCAATTCAAGATGTCCGCCACAGAGTAATTATTAAATCGTTCGCGGAGACTTTACTTTGTGACGTACGTGTCCGATCCTGGAAATTGACAATATTTTGGAGAGTTCAGGACACCTTTAGAGGCAATGTCTTTCATACACCTTAGAGGTATCATAGAATACTCTGTTCGTTGAAAAAATCAGGGATAATATTTGTGTATTCTTGCAGCTTTTTCTCACTCAGATGATTGTCATCTGAAATAATGAACTGCGAGTACCTTAATGGGTTTTGGGGTATTGAGATTATTAACTGCTGTAGCATTTATTCCCAGCAAAAAAAAAAATACAGATTCAATGCAAAGTTTACAAAATATCCCCACGGGTGATGAGTTTATTAGGATATGTTCATAAAACGTACAAATTAAAAAAACGCTGTTCTCACTACAAAAACTTAAAAAAGGAATTCGAGTTAGACAACGGAAGGGTGGGTGTTTTTTAAGGGAACGCGTGACGCATAGGACTTTATTTTACGTCCAGTGTTTATGTCTTTCTTGCTAACGATGTCAGTTTTTCATACGCTAAAAGAAAAACAAGGTGGAACCTTCCTGTAAAGACTATTGTGGTTAAATGGCGCATTTTTGTGATTGTGGCGTTTATTGGGGGCCTACATTGCCGTAATTCGTATTACTTAAAATACAGTTAAGACATTTTAGTATTTAGATTTTCAAGCTCTAATAAAACTTGTTGCTCATAATCTAATTTCAAACGTGCAAACAGCAGCAGTTCAAAGTTCAAAATTATTATAACTGGTGTCAATTGCAGCATTTTTATTAACAAGTTATAAAATAAAAATTTTCTAAAATAAATGAAAACATGCAAGCTAGTCTGAGAAGTCCATGTAAAATGACATCGATCGTGAGTAAAGCATATAGTGCTATCCAAGTCGAGACTTTTTGACAATCGGCAAAAACTTCCAAATTCGCCGCCTTTTCTTCCGAACCAAATGCCCCAAAATAATTTTTAAAAAAACGAGTTTTGTGGTTGTTTCTTTTTATATATTTATTTTTTTAATTACAAAACTTTCCCGGGCAATTATATATTTGGTTTCATTTTTACGCGCCTCCTTTTTCCTTATCTCAGGCTTTCCAGTTCGAACGAAGCCTCCCGCTTGCACATCTGCTCACTGCAGCACGCTTTGTTGGCGTTGGAAAACCGATGAAACAGTAGTGAGTTTTAGTATTGCGTATGCGAGCGAACGAAAGCACTGTGTGTTTACGTTAACGTTGCGAGTTCCAAACTGTCCGTGCTCGGAGCACAAAATTGCCGTCTTGGATTGGCGCATGAAAACGACTTGCATGTGCAGCTTGGAGCACGCAACTCTAGCTGAAGTAATGCACAGCACTTCTGTTTGCTTTTATACGCGATATTAAAACTCTGTAGTAAGGTACAATCACATGCCGGCTGCAGCAACACATTAAGACAGTGAAGAGTGTTTTTCTTTTTTTTTTCATTCAGAAATGACTATAGGCGAGCCATGATCGCGAGCAGTTCCGCCGGGCCCGATGAGCAGGAGTGACCGGAGAACCCTCACTAGAGAGCTTCCCGTTTCCGCCGCGAGAGGGCGAGCAACAAGCAGGAGAAGCGAATACACCAGTTAGTTTTCCTGCTAAATTTATCTGGGAAATCAACGTCACGTGACCTAAATACCGATGAAGTTTCTCCTTAAGTGTAGAAGGGAAATTGGTGTCATGTGGGACCTATACACCACTTTAGTTTCCCCGTTATAAATTTAGCGTGGAAACTGATGCACAATAAGTTCGTTTCAATCCCGAATCGATTGCTTAATGTCTTCTAAACAAATTGAAACGTTTGTTCCTTATATAATATACACTCCGTGCATTGAATGACTCTCGAGATAAAGGTTGTTGGGTATATTTTTTTTTTAAACAACACTTCAATGTTTTTTTTTTGTTTGTTTTTTAAGTTTCATTGTGTATAAGCATTAAATTTTCTGTTTGTGTGCTTGGGAGTGCAGCATTATCTTTTTCTTTATTTATAGCGCCTCCGAAGTCCCATTTCCAGTCGGCACGAACGGTGGTGAAATCGGTTACAAGTATAGTGCTGCGGACTACTTTGATTCGTATATTTTGTTCATAGAAATACAGAACCATGCGCATTTCAGTTGCATATAATAGAAAGCGCAGCCGCCTTCCAGGGAATATTCGATTGACGTCCGACTGCCTGTATTACCATGCATGAACCGCCTCTATATCTGCAAGCGGTCTCATAATTTAAACAAAAAAAAATCGGCTTATGTCAGAAACAACTTTCCGAGGTCTCTAACCCCGACACTGTGCCTCTATCCTCCTGTTTCGGAACCCGTCTTTGCTCAGTCCCGAGAGCTTCAGTCCCCCGGAGCATTTTCGGAGAACTAATGAGCAAATTACTTATGCTCGTCCTTTCTTACGGTGTTTGCCGCCTTTCTCTACCATTGTATTACTTTCATCTTCACGTTGGCTGGGGCAAAAAAGAAAGCAGACCAAAAAACGAATGTTTAATGAATGAGGGATCTTGGAATGGTGTTCGCTGACAGGACGCTTTAACAACCTGCAGATATATATATTGAGAAACGTAGTTTGCAAACGACATTATGTTGCAACAAAAATATAAAAAAAATTCTGCCTACAAAAAGAAAAATAATTTGCTTTTGTTCACTCTATACGGGTTCGCACGTTTTGCTTCGTTATTCGTTCTTCGGCGCTCTTATCGGCTAAGGCCGATAAGATGCACACCCCGGTTCCTCTCAAATATATTGCGCAGAGGCTCACATTTGAAGTTTAAAGCATTGTTAGAAGGTTGCCGGTTTGTTAGTTGGTTTCTTATATTTATTGGACATTGGAGATGCTATATGCAGGACGAGAACTGACTCGCGAGAGAATCACCGAAGATAATCATCAGGTTGCTAATCAACAGGTGGTGGGCTAGCAGGAAGCCACGCAAGAAAAGGTCGGTTTCCAGGTGGTCGCTCCTTCGGTTCTTGAACAAAGAGGAGCGGAACGAAGAGAAGTGCGGCGGAGAAAGCGGCGGTGCAAAAAGTGGAGGGTAAGGTTGGAAGAAGAAAGACATGGTGGCTAAGGTGGCGGTGGCTTGTGGCGATGGCATGGTGGTGGTGGTGTTACGCCGGGAGACGAGGCTGTGGTCATTATTTGTTATTATCACCAAGATTGTTTTTTTTATGTTTGTGATATGTGGCTGGAAGCACCTGGAGCAGATAATGAAAACTGGAGACGAACGGAGGGTAAAAAGGGGACGCTCACAAACACGGTCATTTCTTTCTGACTCATTATGGTTTCTAAGGGGACAATGCCCTGGCGACGCTAAACGCCTCGAATCTTAAAAAAGAAAACACAATAAAAAAATTTCAATTTTGTTATCGTCATTTTTTTATGTGGAACTATGATTGAGTGCTTATTTTGCAAATATGTCCTCTGCGTTTTATTGTTGCAACATCACATAACCTCAAAGGTAAAAAAAAAGAAATGAATCCCCTAAAGAGTTAAATCTCCAAAACAAATTATTTTAAGTGAATTTTTAATTTTTTCAAAGCTTGTAAATACTCTTCTTTTTTTTTTATGAGTCATGACCAGTTACAATTATGACGTTATATTCGATGTTCACAGCCTCAGATCATTACAGTACTTTCTTTTGTGTTTATTGCGCCACGCAATAAACAATGTCCTCAGGAAGCTCCAGATATAGGCCTATTGTTACCTGACGACGAAGGTGGAGCTTTCCCTATTCTTTATCGCACACACGCAGAAATATAACACGCTTGGCACTGCTTATTTTCACGAACGCACCAGCAACAAAACTTTATCCATAAAACACCACTGTTTCTGTTTTTCTTCTCCAGGATGCGTGCAGCGCGACTGGAGATCCCCGGACGCGAGAAGCCGTCGCTCTTCTCCCGCGACTCCTCGTCTGGCGACACCAGTTCCCGACCCCCGGGCCAGGAGGACGAGCGCCGCACGCAGACCCGGGTGCCATCCTCGTCGTCGGACGACGAAGACGACGACGACTTCACCAGCGACATCATGGCCGGAGGCAGGCCCCTAGCCTCGTCCACGGGCTCGAGACGTGGGAGCATCAACCACGTCAAGTTCGGCGCCGCGGCAGCCATCCTGCACGTACCAGGAGTGCCCAGTCCTCGGTCCGGTTCGCCGCGTTCGGGCTCGCCCCGCTCGGGGTCAGTGACGTTTTTCGAAGAGCCGTCGTTCATCCACGACGTAGTGAACGACTACGAAGACGACGCGGACGATGAAGACGACCTCGAGACCACGGGCGACGGGAGGTAGCCACGGCGAGGCGGCGGCGGGTCGCGGCCGTCGCCCGCTGTGGCAAGCAGTTCTGCCACGCGTCTCGTGTTGCTCCAACTCCCGCGGCGACGGTCCATGGTCGTCTCTGGCATTGAGTCTGGCATCGGGTCCGGCATCGCGCCTGGAATAGGGTCCGGAGTCCTGGAGACATTGCTCTGAAGAAAGGCGTCACCGTCGGGTCGTGTGCTCGATGACGCGTCTGACGTGGCGTCCGTGTCTGATGTGGCGTCCGATGGCGTGTCCGATGTGGTGTCCAATGACGTGTCCGATGTGGTGTCCGATGGCTCAAGCGGTATAGCGCGTGCGCTAGCAGCGTTCAGCGTCGGGTTTGGATCCGGTTTTGCATGTGGAATCGGGTGTGGAAAGTGTTGACGTTCAACTTTGAAGTGAGCCTTCGTGTCGACGATGTTTGAGACTGTGAGTTGGGTGAAGCGTCGAAGCGATCGGGGACGTGGAGTAGCGTGTGTCCGTGAGGGTATCGGGACAAGCTCTGATTTCTCGGATCTGGTGTGTGAAAGGAGGAACAAACTGGTTCTTGGGAACATGCGAGGCTCGGTCTATAGACTTTCTATTTGAGCAGTCTAGCCAGTGCATTGTAGTTTTCGTACTTTCGCCACCAAGATCACTTCATCGTGTTCGGTTAGGAGTATTTCTTCTCCATGAATTGTAGATAAAATGTTTACATCCTAAAAAAAGAAATTACGTAATTAAAAAAAAGACTAAAAAAAACGAACATTTTGAGTGATAAAATGCGGCCGTCGGGGCTTATTTTCGCCAGAGGTTTCAGTTTAGTCCTCTTTCGTTGCACAAGTGCTTCGGATCGGATTTGCAGTGTTCAAAATGCCTAGGTTTGCTATAACCTTGTATCATATTGAATTGGCATCCAGCTGGTATAAACCTGCTGGTATCGGTGTTTCCGTATTGTGAAATCCAGTTCCTTAAGCGTCGTATAGTGAGGGTCAAGTTATAGACGGTCACACTTATTTAGTCATATATTTTCCAGAAACAAAACTAAAATGTTTTAGTAACTTTGTGAAGTTTTGCGTGGTGTTGTTTGTGATGCATATGTAATACCCCTGCTTAGTTTCTACAAATGCACAAGTACCACGTTTAGAAAAAAAATCTTACTCTTGAGTTACTTTCATGGGAAAATGCTTAGAGGGGTCATGAAAAGATATCAGGTTGAGTTTTCATGTTTTTACAGAGGCGTACAGGTCCTAGTCTGGCCCAAGTATACTCACACAGATTGCCACTGATTCAAACGCTTCTTTGTCGCGGTGAAAGTGCGAGATTAAAAGGGGATTATTTATCTCAGTCTTGGCCTTCACAAAGCTTTATGACGGAATAATGGGATCTAAACCAGCCACCTGGCGACAGTCGAGCGCGGCTCATGGATTGGATACGAGAACTGTGTGAGTACTCCACTTCGGCTCGTAACAATCAATGCCTCGGCGGACACTCGGGTAGTGGCTCGTGTCCAACCACTGCGGTAATGAGAATAGCCGAACTCCAACAATGCCTGGAGCTCAATGATTAACGTTGGCGGCATAGGATAGGCACCAGGCCACGTGGCCGCTTGTTCTGGATCCGAGTTGAGGGGATGAACGATACTTATATTTCACTACTTTTTTTTTGCGACTGTTTTTGCCTAGGAAGAAATACTAAGGCAAGTTGAATTATTTATAAACATCAGGGAGAAATTCTAAGTAATATATAGCGAAAACAGAAAAATCGTTTCATGACCCCCTTAAACTTGACATGAAAATAATAATAGAATAATAATAATTCATTTCAGACATAATTGTTTCCAGGAGGCTGGGAAAAAAAGACAGTCTTCTGACGTGGCCATCAGCCCCTAAATAGCTATATGTTACAGTCAGGACCTATGATTCAAGCACTTTACATTATGGCCACATCATCAAAAGAAAAATTAGTTTCTTGATAAAGAAAAAATGGTAGAAGAGGGGACCAAAAAAAGAAAGCAACGCGTGTAATACTTGTCGCCCTTACACACCCTGTCTAAATGAAATAAAAATCAGTTACTAGCGAAAGAACTGCAAATAATTCTCTAGAAATTTCTGAATGTCCCAACATGGTGCCGCGAACCCAAAATGTAAGCCTAGTAATGTAGATTTTGCCGTAGACAATAAACTTCGCCAGTGCAGGGCGATCAATGAGTTGGGGCCTCCTCTTCTAAAGAGCAGCAGTAGTGATTACATCGTGTTGGCTTAACTATCATATATATTCAGCCGATTGTTACTTAGCAATTGCAAACCATGAATTCGAGCAAGACATATCTTATATCACGCAACGCCACCCGAAAACGCGAAATGTTCCAGAATTCACCAACCGCGAACAGACAGGCAAGCCTGGTATAAATGACGCAAACCAAACCACCTCGAAAAACAAACGAACCGCAGGCAAGCGATGCCGAAATACGACTGTGTCCTCGACGCACTTTATCCAATAAAACACATCTTGACTATGATTTTTGGAGCACACAAAAACGACTTTATCTAGGTCGAGCATGAAATTTATAGACGTTCCACAAAAGGTCCGAGCAAAGCATGCATTACGCCACCTTTCCTGATTGGTCTTGCGTGAACGACGTGTTCTCCGGATCTGCCTATACCGTATAAATCGCACCTCGCTACCAGCTACAATAAACAACGCACAACCCTAGATCCTTCCAGTATTCCAGAAAGGGTTCGATCCTTCCCGAATTTTTCTTCCTTCGATAGTGTCATCCGGCGGACTAAACAGACCAGAGGGTATGAGCCTTGACGAAGTTTAATATTTTCTACCGATTAAGACGCCGTATCTCAGAGCAGTATTTTCCAAGACTGGGTAACGTCGATTGTTGGCCACTTGACGCCCGCAGCTGTTCGCGAAATATTCTGACACTTGTTAACACCTCAGTGGCCTCAAGGAGCGAAGCCGGGCAGGACGTTTAGAGCTGCTGTGCCTTCCCTGTTGCCCACATTTTGGTTGACACTCACTGCTTCAAACTAGTCTAAGAAGACCTCCCCAAACGTACGAAATCTTCAAATAAAAAAGGAAATTGGTAGAGAAATGTCTTCTTTTGAACTATAGTCACTCACAATTAAAAAAGCGCAGGGCGTGACCTATTTGTTATATTCCAGCTTTTTTATGTCGTGATTCGTTGTTCGGCGATCTTATCGACTATTTCTGCTATCGTATTGGCCACGGAGCGTTAATAAGGCGCTAGGGAATTTCCACACCCTGCGTTTATGTAAATTGTTAGTGACTATAAATCCGTTTTCATAATTGCCATGCAACCCATCTCAGGAGTTACAGGTAATATGTGCGCGCATCTTCACAAGAAGCTCCTTTTGTGCATACGTTCGTACAACCGAGGTATTTTCCAGAGTTTTCTCGCCTCTGCCTTCGACAGCTGAAGGCTCTATACGTACGTAATACAGCACGTGCTGTGTTCCTGTTGAACAAACTAAAAAGATAAAGACGCGTGTAACCGATCCACTGCTGCGTGAACATCGACCCAATCTGGCAAGTTGGGCGCAGCGCAATCAGAGGTACAAATGTAGGAAGAGCTCGTTAGAAAATTCTACCTTCCTGCTACGTCAAATGACTAGCACTTGTCCAGCCCGAAACTTTGATCAAGGAAATCCAGTGGTGAAGAGAACGTAGTGTAATACGGGAAATTGTGGAGAATGAAAAGTCAGCTGCTCAGCATTTGCGTGCAGCCCGAAAAAAGGCACTGGGATGACAGAGTGAGACCGTAAGTATGCAGTACTAATAATTTTGTTTCTTGGGAGACTCGAACCAGCGTGCATTGGGTCTCTCTTGTTTGGGTTATAGTTGTACGAGAGAAAGTTAGATGATCTTCATTATAGGCACTGCTATGTGTCTCTTCCTAAGACAAAGGCACTGGAGCCAGACTCCTCCTAATACTTCTTATGCAGGAGCGCTAGCACACGGCAGTACACTTTCAACCACGGAGACACGTCTGTGCCTTTCCAAGAACTGCGCAAAATTCGGTGTATGGAGAATAGCTTTTTAATATTGCTACCCGCCACTTTTTGTTTTTGCATTCGGTTCTCTTCACTTTATATGACTATGTGGTCAGATGCCAGGTTCTTGCGTTTCTAGACGCTTGGGCGCACTTCTCACCAATGCAGGCTTGGTGCAAGTTCGTCATCGTCGGTTCCAGCTGCTCAGTACTTGCGTGCAGCCCGAGATGGGCAATAAGGTTTAATTTAACTTGAGAGACGTTGAAAGTTTTCAATAAGTCCTGAACGACCGCTCCTAAAAACTTGTAAGTCGTAAACACAATTTAAAAGAGGAAAACACGCGTAACAATTCTAAGGCCGCATTCACAATGGCGTTCGAATCGCAACCGTCCAACATCAACTGCGCGTGAATTTGTACAGCACCTTTAAGCGACCGCATTCGCGACCGCTTTGCGGATGCGACTGAGTCGCCAGTGTGAATGCGGCGTAAGAGTGGTCTTGCCCTTATCTCCACTGCACCCGTCAAACGCCGGCGTCCGGCGTTTGGTTATCGCATTCGGACGCATTCGAGGAGTGCAGTGGAGACAAATGCAGCTAGCTTTAGGTCTACCCCCTAATCATTCGAATTAGAGCTCGGCGTTCTGACTTCCCCGCGCGTTCTATTCTCGTCCTCTCCCTCAATTTCCCGGCGTATAGTCAGCCAGTAAAATCATGGTTAAGGTTATTAAGACGCTGTGAGAAAACCGAAATCCGGGGGTGCAGATAAAATAAAAAGGCAGACGGTTGAGCGGTTAAAAGTCACGGATAAAGCTTCTAAAATATAAATAAATCATAGATTCCTCGCAGCGTGCCTAGGAATCCACACACTTAATGAGTTGACTTCTTCCTTCCTCGCCATATGGTACATCCCAGCATCGTTGGTTGAGTATGTTGAAATAGCACTAACATCAGAACAACGAGCTCTGGTATGAATGATTAGTGAATAGAACTATATGTAGCAGCCATTGTCTCCACTGCAATCGTTGAACGCGTTAGAACGCGAAAAGCCGGCGTCCGGCATTTGGCTCTCGTATTCAAACGCGTTTGACGAGTGTACTGGAAACAAAGGAAGCTAGCTTTAGGTTTACCCACTAAACCTTCGAATCGGAGCTTGGCGTTCTGACGTTCACGCGCGCTCTCGTCTTATTCTCTTCCTCGGTTTCTCGGGTGCCTAGGTCAGACACTATACTTGCACAAACCTAATGAGTACATTAATGTTGTAGGGCGCCCATGATACCGAATTCCGGTGGTCAATTTAAGGTGCTCCGACTGGTCTGCGATTTTCGCAGCTGTATATAGACCGCGTCAAAGCAACTCCTCCTAAATGGCAAAGCTGTATACTACTGAAATTCCTGCGTCACCTAGAGGCTAACAGGGAGAAGAGAGTGAACGCGACCGCAGCATCAGCGCTCGGGATCGCGTCCCCGTTTTTTTAAACACCAGTTTGAGCTGAACGCTTACGAAGCTCTCCCGTTTAGTCTGTGCTCCGTGTTGGCCAATTCTTTAGGGCACGTAAAAATTTCATTGGTATAAGTTTTGTTATCTGTAGTGACTGTCAAGGTGAGAACGGCAGCAAGGAGGTTCAGTTGTCCCGCCTCCAGCGCGAACATTTTACCTTCGACAGCGCTTCGGTGTCTCGTGGACCTCGAGCGCGAGCGCGCAGCCAAAGCACGGCAGAACGCGTATAGAGCGCGCACCTGAAGCCATGCGTTCGAAAAAAACGTCCTGCCGTTCTCATTCTGTCAGTGACTATAGTAGGTGTTGGTCAGAGTCTGGTTTGAAAGAAGAGCTCTACAGCATGCTGAAAACGATCGCCTGAATTCGTCGTTCCCTTCCTGAATGCACTTATTTTTTGACGATGACTGCTACATATGTTTCCCGCTATATTTGCTTAATAACGGCATGCGCCGACTGGCGGGATTTTAAAAAAAAAAATGATAAGAAGAATTTGCGTTCTGTTTGCAAAAAAGTGGGGGGATGACTGTGTAACTCCGTCAATTCAATCAAGACGCGCAACTAATAGAAGACCTCTCAAGTCTGCCACCTTCCAAGCAGTGATGTTGTGAACTGACCGTCGTGGCCATCCACGTACGTGTGTGTGCGTGTCATCGGTCGCGAGCCTCCAGCACCGTGGAATCGTCTCCATTCCGTTTCCTTACGGCGGTCCCTTCTAGAACAATCCTGATAACTGGAACCTATACATCCGTTCCCCAAATCACTGTCATCACTTGCAGGTGGTGCGTGTGTGTGTGAGTGTAAAACGTATTGTGTCTCCGAAACTTTTCAACGGCGCCCATCGTTCAAGGAGGCCTCCGACCAATGCAATCTTTCGGTATCCATTCTCCCAACCATGATCCATCAACGGCAGGCAGCGGACATAAGCGGACAAAGAATGTGACGGCCTACAAGCATCAAATAAAATACGAGTTCGGAGATGAAATGTCGGACGCCTGCGGCCGATAAGTGAAGACATTTAGTCCCGACCTCTCGTTGTTCCTGCCACCTATGGAGGAGATGTTATGATCAGGGTCTTGTTCCACCCAAATTTCAACCGCGCAACTATTTTCGAGTTTACCCGCACCCTCCCGATTTTAGTGTATGTCACCTTCCGGAAAGTTTCAGTCGGCCATGTCCGGATGACGAAGACGCCGCCAACGGGAAATCGGGGAAGACTTTCTCGGCTCACCGAAACAGAGAGCGACCAACATGACCGCACAAGGACGACTAACATTCCTCTCGTGAATAGGCGGTTCTTTTCCAGCGTCAATTTCCCTTGCAAGCAAACGTGGCCGTCTCTTTTCTACATTAAAAAGAGGACGCTTCCTGTTTCCCCCTGGTTTTTCTTTTTTCTTCTTTTTATTTTGTTTTTTTATGCATAATGCTTCCATGAGCAGTAAGTACTTTATGCAAACTATACACACGCCAAGTTGTAGCTTACAAATGTCACAAAAATATAAGAATAGCAGGACATTCCTTTCGAAAGTCCGGCCTCCAGCACGTGCTCCTTGCCTTTCGCCGTGCTTTGTGTGGGCGTGCACGCCCGAGATTTACGAGACACCGAGACGTTCTCGAAGGCACGAAGCTCCCGTTTGAGGTAGGAAAACTGAAACCCCTCCCTGGCCGTTTTTAACTTCTCGGTAATTAAAGTAAAACTGACTGCATTTGAATAACTTTCTCATAGTTGATCATTAATTGATACAAAAATTTCCCCCTTGAAATCTTAATATATTAAAATTTTGGCTTGCTTAATTTTAGAAACCAAACTATATCCAAGCTCATGGGACGGACATTTTCGCCTACTCGGGTAGCCCCGAGAAGGCCAAGCCACGTGAAGGACCCTCGGGCACCTACTTGGATAGCCTACCGGGACCTCCTCGTGGGACCCCATAGACCAAAACGGGCAGCCCACATAAGCACCCCTCGTGAGACCCTCAGGGGATCCCTTTGGGCAGCTTATCTGGGCCCACTCGTGAGACTTCAGGGGCAAAGATAGACAGCCCTTGGGGGACCCACAGGGAGCCTACTTAGGCAGTCCTTCTGGGCTCCTTTCGTGAGATCTCCAAGGGACCTATACTTGGGCAGCACACCTGAGCCTCCCATTGTATGACCTACAAGGGACCTGCTTGGGCAGCCCACCTGAGCCCTTTATTATGACACCCACAGGAAACCTTGTAGGGCGGCCAACTTTGGCACCCCGTTAGACTTTCGGGGGTCTACTTGGGCTGCCCACCTGCCCCCCCCCCCCCCCCCTCCTTGTGAGACCCTTAGGAAACCTGCTTGGGCAGCCTGCCTGAGACCCTCTCGTGGGACCATCAGGGGTTCCCTATAGAGGCAGCCCATCTAAACCACACTCATGAGACCCTGAGGGGACCTACTGGAGCAGCCCACCTGGGCAACACCACCTAGAATAGTCAGAGCCCCCGCATCGCCTCGTCTACCTTCATGAAACGTCATCACAGTTGGATCGCTCAAACTCGGCTATTGGGCCCGAGTCCGACCTTCGACGTGCTGAATGAACACGAGCCCCGACCTTCGACGTGCTGATTGAACACGAGCTCCGGCCGAACACTGACGCAGCACTCGTGCCCAAATTCAGGCCTTTATCTATCTGATTGTTATGGCGATGTGGAGGCCTTCTACTAATCTAAGTGGTGTTGACCCGGGCCACCCTCGTGAGACCCTTAGGGGACTTACTTGGGCAGCCCACCTGGACGTGCTCATGAAACCCTCAGGGACCAACATGGTCAGCCCGCTTAGTCTTTCGTCGTGTCCCCCACAGGGAGTTTACTTAGGCAGTCCCGTGGACCTCCCTCGTGAAACCCTCAGGGGCCTACTTGGGCAGCCCACTTGGGTCCCTTCATGAGACCCTCAAAGGCCAACATGAACAGCCCACCTGGACTTCCCTCGTTCGACCCGGGGGGGGGGGGGCATTCTTGGGCAGCCCACCTCAGACCCCTAGTGAGACCCGCAAGTGGCATAGGCACCCCACCCTCTTTTGCGTCGTGGGACCCACAGGAGGTCTAATTGGGCAGCCCACCTGAGCCCCCACTTAGGGCCTACGGGGGACTACTTGTGCACACCACCATATACTCCCTCAGGAAACCCACATTGTCCAAAATGTGCAGCGCACCTAGGCTTCCCTCGTGTAGCCGACAGGGGGATTACATGGGCAGCCGATCTAGGCCTTCCTCGTGGGTCCCACAGGGGCCCAACATGAGCAGCTCACCTAGGCAATTCCCTCGTAGGACCCACAGGGGGCCTTCTTGTGCAGTACACCTGGGCCACCTCCAAGACCCACGAGGGCCAACACGGATAGCCTGCCTTTGTCTTCCTCGTGGAACTCACAGGGAGCTCACTTAAGCAGCCCGCCTAGGTTTCCTTTGTGAGACCCAAAGGGAGCCTAAGATAGTCATCCCACTCAGGCTTTTCTTGTGGGACTCACAGGGGGGAAACACGGGCAGCACACCAACCCCCCTCATGAGACCCACGGGGCGCCAACGTGAGCAGCACACTAACACTTCACTCATGGGAACAACAAAGCCTTTCATGTGCAGTCCCCCTGAGCTACTCTCGTGGGACCCACAGGGGGCCAAAAACGGCAGCCCCATAGGCGTCCCTCGTTAGAGTCACAGGAAAACTGCTTGGGCAGCCCACCTAGGCCTTTCTCATGAGATCCACATGAAGCCAGCATAGGCAGCCTACCAAGGTTTCTCTCGTGAGACCCGCAGGAGGCCTATTTCAGCAGTCCACCGGCCCCCCATGAACCCACAAGCGGGCCAATATGGGCAGCCCACCTAGGTTTCTCTCTTGGGACCCCCCAAGGGGCCTATTTCGGAAGCCCACCTGGGCCCCCTCATAAGACCCACAGGGGGTCAGCATAAGCAGTCCACCTAGGGTTGCCTCACGGGACACACTGGGAGCCTACTTGCGGAGCCCCCTAGGCTCCCCTTCTGGACCCACACGGGGCCTACGTGGCTCCCCCTCAAGAGACCTTCAGGAAGACAGCATGGGCAGCCCATCTAGGCTTTCTTCGTGGGACCCTCGGGCGGCCTACTTGGGCAGCCCATCGAGAGACCCTCAGGGTGCCCAGTAGTGCAGCTTCCTTATTCCACTTTTTTAGGGCCTAGAGGTGGCCTAACTGGTCAACCTTTATGAGCATCTCTCGGGGGATCGATAGGTCCCCCAAGGGAAGCTCACAAAGCTACTTGCGCCGCCCACTTGGAGTCGTTCAAAGGGGAGATTTCGTAGATAATTTCCTCTGTCCCTCAACGCTCTCCGCGATCCGCTACGAGATCTGCAACTCTGCAGAGTAGGCTAGCGGGGCGCGCATGCGCCGTAGAGCCGTTTTCGTTGCGGCAAAAATAGCGGAGAGGGAAGCACGGCCTATGAAAGCTCTCTAATCCCTCCCCAGAAGATGTGGGACTTATCGGGGTATTACAGGTTACCACCAATTGTCTAATCCTACACTTTTCGTAAGTGCCCGCAGAACAAAGAAATTGCAATTTTGTTATATAAATGTGTATATTTTGTGCTCCAATAAAATTGAGTGAGCAAGGCCACCAAAAATTAGGCATTCGGCGAGTATAAAATAAAACACAAAACCGTGTACGTTCCTCCTGGTCAGGCAACCCTGATGCATAAAGTGCAAAAAAGGTTTTGGAGCAGATTAAAGCGGAGGGGGAGACAGAAGGTTTCCGACACATACTGACCAGACATGAGGGCAGAAGAGTAGAGAGGGAAGAGGCACGGTAATATATTAGGCGGACAATCGAAGGGGCTTTCTCCCAGCTAGAGCAAGGGGGACAATGAATAGCACTGACAGCAGCATGTAGAGGAGGAGCAAAATAGTGTAATAATGGAAATGACCACGAGAGAATGAAATAAGACAGAAAGTAAGGTTCCAGCAGGTACAGCGACAGGCCCAGACGACATACCAATGGAACTGATTAAGGCACTAGGAAAAGCAAACAAATTGAAGCTACGGCATGTGATTAATAAATAATTATGGGAGGAGAGGTACCCGATGATTGGAAACTAAGTAATATTAGACTAATATATAAGCCAGAGGAAGCAACGAAACATTAGGGCTTAACACGCAATTACGGTAACTACAGTGCTATATACAGTGTGTCACAAAAGAAAATTTACACGGTCTTTTTTACCGCAAAAATAAACTAGGCATCGTCGAACGCTCATTCTCCGCCCAAAGGTAAAGCTAAGGTCACAACCAGATGCCAAAGTTTCAACCCGATCCGATAACTTAATCAAAAGTTATAAGTGATTTTCTAAAAAATTTCAATGGGAAAATGAAGCCCATTTTTCCCGTTTTCAGTTTCTGGTGCCATAGAGCCCCATGTGTTTGAGAACTCCGTCGGCCGTCATTTTCCCATTGAAATTTTCAGAAAATCACTTATAACTTTTGATTAAGTTATCGGATCGGGCTGAAACTTTGGCATCTTTGCTAGCTTTGGGCGAAGAATGTCTAATGAGCGTTCGGCGATGCCTAGTTTATTTTTCCGGTAAAAAAACCGTGTAAATTTTCTTTTGTGACACCCTGTAGATTAGCTATGCAGATAGTAAAGCGGAAAATGGAGGAATGGGCAGAAGATATGCAATTAACTAGGTGAGCTATAAAACAGATTCCGAAGAGATAGAAGGTTGGAAGATAACTTAATCGTCGCCACACAATGTATAGAAATTGCAATGAAAAACCAAACTCCTTTATGGTTAGCTTTTTCGGACATCAAGAGAGCGTACGATAATGTGAGCCAGGAAAAACTCCGGGGTCAGCTGAAGGAGTATAACTTAGATGCAAATTTTGTTAGGTTTCTTCAGCAGGTGTACACAGACAATAAGGTAGTTATAACATGGGAAGCAGAAACTACACAACCCGCAGCCATAGAAAGAGGGCTCAGGCAGGGTTTTCCACTGTCACCTCTGCTCTTCATGATATATCTCAGTGAAATGGAATCGAAATTAGGCCAAAGTAACTTAGGTTTTGATGTGAGTTATATGCAAGGAAGGAGACATGTAGTACAGGTAATACCAGGACTGATGTATGCGGACGGTATAGTACTTATGGCAGATAACCAGAGTACGTCACAGGAAGTTGCTTGAATACGTGGAGCAAGGGGATACCTTGGGCATGAGTTTTAGTAGTGACAAGCCTGGGGTGACTGTGCTTAACGAAGAAAAGAGGGAACCCCTGAGGATACAAGACATTGTAATAGACCATGTAGGAAAATACAAATATCTGGGAGTCTGGCTCAATGAGGGTAGGAAATATCTAGAGGAACATGAGAAGAATATAATCAGAAAATGGAAAATAAATTCATCC